ATGAGGGGGTCAGGGCTCAGGACACGGCCTCCCGCTCCGATCCTGCTTCCCCTCCCTGAGCTGGACCGGCCCCAGTGCGTAGACCTTCGGCCTTCAATAGGTTAGGGGATGCGCACCATCGACCAGCATCGGAGAGACTGGCGGGAAAGATGGGTCAACGTGAGCCTATCTCATCGAGGGAGAGCTTTGGGTCCGTATCCCGCCTCGGCCTCGTCTTGACAAAGGCAAAGGCGAGCTACACGAGGAGGACGCACTCCACCACATCAATGCAGCTCGTAACCAGGCCCCCGGCGTCGCCACGGCCGTCGAGGACCCTCGGAACGAAATCATCGCCCGACTTGAAAGAAGGCTCGCTGAGATGGAAGCAAGACAAGTGGCTGCCACTCCTATGGCCAACTCATCAGGGAATACCGGCTTTGACGCCCTCATGAACAAACTCAGTGCTCTGGAGAGAGAATTCGCTGAGGGGCGCGGTGACCCCATCATCCAGGTCAGGACCAAGACCCCCTTCACCACCAGGATGCTCTCAGCCCCAATACCCGAGAAATACCGGGGAAGCACTATGAAGCCGTATGACGACCGCACTGACCCCATGAACATTTCAACCGATATCAAGACAACATGCTGATGGTCAATGCATCTGACAAATATTTATGCCGTTGGTTCCTCTCCACTCTCGAGGGACCGGTGTACGAATGGTTCAACGCGTTGCCCGAGGGGAGCATAGACTCATGGCAAGATCTTGCCCATCGCTTCCTCACCTATTTCGTCAGAAGGAAGCGCGCGAAAAAGCACTTCTCCCACCTCCTCTCAGTCAAGCAACAACCTGACGAAACACTTCGGTCCTTCATTGACCGATGGATGAAGGAGACAGACGAGGTCGAGGGCGCCGACGAGCGTACCCTCCTCGTCCTCTTCCAGGGGGTTCTTCACAGCAACCCCTACGCACGGAGCCTCATCACCGACCCTCCAAGATCATACCTCGAAGCACTCCAGCGGGGGAGCCTATACGCCGACGCCGATGACCTCCACTCCTTCAAGAGGGACGGAGGCCAGCCCTCGAAGAAGACAAACAACACGTCGGCCCTGAATGCGCCCTCGATCGGGGACATGCCGAGGACTCCCCTCACACACCTGGTGAGCACTATCCTCAACTATGCGGAAGAGCAAGACCTTTTCCCGAGGGACCCTCGGTCAGCGAGAGAGATCTACGCCGTCCACCAGGGCGGCACTTATTGCTGTTACCATAGAAGCACCTCCCACGATGCTGACGATTGTGTCTCGCTAAAGAAAGCCATTGAGCTCTTGATTCAACGGGGTGAGCTCCACCAGTTCATAAAAAATGCCCCAAGGAAAAATGTCGGGGAGAACACCGATAAGAAAGAAGGGGACACCTCAGCGAAGAAACGTGAAATTGGGAGGTTCAGCGACGACGAGGAATTCGAGGAGCCCCAGCCGAAGAAGCGCCACCTCCGCTGAATCATGTTCTTCGCCCTCGGCCTCGGTCTCAGTCTCGAGCCCTCGACCTCGAGGCAAATTATCATCCCCTCGGCCTAGAGCCCTTGGCCTCGAGCCACTTATCTTAACAAAGCCGTTTTCAAAACAACGCACCCCTTGTATTCCGCTTATTTCTATGGATTTAAGTAAACTACCACACAACCCTGACATCTTATCGACCCCTTCGACGCCAAATTGCCAGGTATGGCCGATGATGTCTAAAGATGAGGGGCCTGCAAAAGGGACGCATTTTTGGAGCGGGACGCTCACCACGTCACCGGCGCGCAACGCACAGCCACAGGCCTGAAAGAATGGCTGAGGTGACGAAATCCCCACACTTGGGGGTGAAACGGCGGTCGTCGGAAACCGACCAAACCTAGCCCGCACCGTAAATAGACGACGGGACCCCCCAAGGACAAGGGACAGTTCAGCGTCGGGGGACTAACAGACGAACCCCCAGACGAATCACTTGGCCCCCCTTCCGGCCGAGGCGGGGAAGCAACCCCCTCGGCCGAAGCCGGAAAGAAGGAACACACATCAGGAGGACTAACATACGACCTCCTGACACAATCAAGGGACAGCCCAGCGCCGGGGGACTAACAGACGAACCCCCGGACGGATCACTTGGACCCCCTTTCGGCCTAGGCGGGGAACCAACCCCCTCGGCCTCAACCTGATTATACATCACGAACGGACCTCGGCCTCAACATGATTCTACATCACCAACGGCCCTCGGCCTCAGCCTGATTCCACATCACAACGTCCCTCGGACTCAACATCACAACGGCCCTCGGCCTCAGCATGACTCTACGTCACAATGGTTTTGGCCTTTTAGCGTGATTTCACATCACAAACGGCCCTCGGCCTCAGCGTGACTCTACATCACGAACGGCTCTCGATCTCAACGTGATTCTACATCACCAACAGCCCTCGGCCTAAGCGTGATTCCACATCACAACAGCCCTCGGCCTCAATGTCACAAATGGCCCTCGATCTCAGCGTGACTCTACATCACGAACGGCCCTCGACCTCAACGTGATTCTACATCACGAACGGCCCTCGACCTCAACGTGATACTACATCACAACGGCCCTCAACCTCAACGTCACAACGGCCCTCGGCCTCAGCGAGACTCTACATCACGAACGGCCCACGACCTCAACGTGATTCTACATCACAACGGCCCTCGGCCTCACCATCACAACGGCCCTCGGCCTCAGCGTGACTCTACGTCACAACGGTTTTGGCCTTAGCTTAATTTCACATCACGAACGGCCCTAGGCCTCAGCAAGACTCTACATCACGAACAACCGTCGACCTCAACGTGATTCTACATCACCAACGGCCCTCAGCCTCAGCGTGACTCCACATCACAACGGCCCTCGGCTTCACAATCACAGCGGCCCTCGGCCTAAGCATGACTTTACGTCACAACGTTTTTGGCCTTAGCATGATTTCCCATCACGAACGGCCCTCAGCCTCAGCGTGACTCTACATCATGAACGGCCCTCGACCTAAACATGATTCTACATCACCAACAGCCCTCGGCCTCAGCATGATTCCGCATCACAACGGCCCTCGATCGTACATATTTCCGACATCAAATATTTGATATCGGGGGCCATCATACAGGCCCTTCGGCCTTCGCCCCTTCGGCATCTTTATTTGATGTCGGGGCTATCATACAGGCCCTCGGCCTTCATCCCTCCGACATCATTATTTGATGCCAGGGGCTATCATACATGCCCTCGGCCTTCATTCCTCCGACATCTTTGTTTGATGTCAGGGGCTATCATACAGACCCTCGGTCTTCATCCCTCCGGCATCTTTATTTGATGCCAAGGACTATCATACAGGCCCATCTGCCTTCATCCCTCCGGCATCTTTATTTGATGTCAGGGGCCATCACACAGGCCCCTCGGTTTAGCTTTCATCCCTCCGGCATCTTTATTTGATGCAAAGAGCTATCATACAGGCCCATCGGCCTTCATCCCTCTGGCATCTTTATTTCATGTCGGGGGCCATCACACAGGCCCATCTGGCCTTGCACCCCTCCGTCACCTTTATTTGATAACGGGGGTCCTTACAGGCTCCTCAGCTTTTTCATGCAGGATCTAAGGCTGGTGTTGGATATCCCCTCAGCAAACGGACACAACCATCGCTTAACAATCTAGGCTGAAGGGTGCATTCCTTTTGCTTCATTCTGGGGGCATTCGGTGTACTCTTTTTCCCTCAATAGGATTTTTTCCCACAGGGTTTTTTCCTAATGAGGTTTTTAACGAGGCATCTCCCCATTGTGGAACAAAAGGCGTCACCCCTCGGCGGCTCCTGCTGAAGGCATGCATCACTCTACTCCTATTTCCCTCGAGAAACTCTCGGCAAAAAGGAGTGGGGGACTGAGGGACTCCCCTCGGCAAAACACGCAAATGTTAAAAATTTTCTATTTCTCAGCTACAGCAAGCTGAGGCAAGATCACAACGACAATCTACTCCCTTCAGCAAAAATAATCAAACTTAAAAATTCTTATTCTTCAGTTGCAGAAAGTGAGCCATCGGCAACTTCAAGACACTACTCCCATTTCCCTCGAGAAACTCTCGGCAAAAGGAGTAGGGGACTCCTGATGGAGTATATGGCCTGGGACACCCCGGCCCACAGACTCCTGCTTCTTCTACACAGGCCCATCGAGCCCGATGAGCACACAAAGCCCAAACGTACCGGCCCAAGCATGAAGAAGCCCACGCTGCACACGTGGATGCCTTCAGCCCTATGGCCGAGGGCTCCAAATTCTGGGAGACATCTTAATATGGTCCTACAAAGCTTCTGGAAAATCCTGGCTAAAATGTTAGCCTTCGGCCACCCGATGCCTTTGGCCCCCCCGATGCCTTCGGCCACATGATACCTTCGGCCACCCGATTCCTTCGGCCACCCGATTCCTTCGGCCACACAATGCCTTCGGCCACCCGATGCCTTCGGCCCCCGATGATGCATAATTTTTAAATTTTGAAATTTTTTCTACATATATTGTAAATGTTTATATTTTTTATAGGTCTGTATTTTTTCTATATCTTACTTAGTTTTTTTTAAAACAACCACTTTTCTTAGAAGTTTTGGATTCTTACATTTTTATATAATTATTTTGTATTTACAATTTTTACTTCTGTCAAATATAATTTTTTATATTTTTTACAGTTTGTAATTTTTACAAGTGTATATTACCTAGTTTTTAAAAAATGCATTATGAAAAATTAGTTTTTATGTTTCCACACATTTTTAACTTTCTTAAACATTTTTATATTTTATTATTTACTTTTGTATTTCTAGAACTTTATGTATTATTATTTTAAATGAATTTTACTATTTTACGTAGTACATGTTTATTTGCACTTCTCTGATTCATTTTTTAATTTACATTTTTTTGACAAATTTCTGTATTTTTTTAAATTTTTGAATTTTCCTATTTTGGACTTTCATTTTTTTCGGAATTTATTGTTTTTTGTGTTTAACTTTTTGATCAATCTTAACATTTTTTCCGATTTTTACATTATTGTACATTTTCAAAATTTTCTTTTATTTTTATTTTTAATTGTTTTAATACTTTTTACATTTTCGTATATAATACAATTTTATTTTTAATTATTTTGATATTTTTAGAATTCCATTTTTCTTATGCATTTTTACAATTTTTCTATTTAAAAACTTAAATTAAGCAAATCCTAGAGCATAGCTTGTACTCCGTATTATTTTATCAAACAGGTGCACTAAAGAGGAATCTTGATGTGCGCTTCTTCGGAATTTCTTCGGAGTAGATTCCGGGTGAGTATTATGCTTTTACATGAGCACTTGGTCTATTTGTGAAAGAAAAAGTCAATTAGTCTATTTTTGAATACAAATCTAAAAAGTGTAAATTAAAAGTAATATTACTTTCATGTTTAAGGTTGCTTGTGATATTTTCCCTTATTAATTTTATCTAGTTGTCTTCATTGCTTTGGGGGGAGTTCTCCCCTTTTACCATTTGATTCTCTTCCTTCATTAGAGCATATACCCCGTTCTCATTCTAAGTAAAATATTTTTATTTCTCAAAGAAAAGGTCCTATTTTGGAAATCAAACTTACTTCCGAAGTATGAATGATCGGACTTTTTTTTTTGAATTAATGCTAATTAATTAATTAATTACGAAAATAATGTTGGGTTAAAAGTATTTATTGATATACTGCTGCGATTAACCATGGTCGGGGTAAGTCGCCAAACGCTTGGGCGACTTATAAGTCGCCATCCGGTTTGGCGACTAATAAGTCGCCCAACCGTTTGGTGACTTACCCTTAAATTAAAACGCCGGGCCAAACTACGCCACAGACAGGTAAACAAATTAAAACGCAGCGCAACGAGGATGAGCGAGGACGAGCGAGGAGCGACGAAAACAGGTTCCAAGTCCGGCGAAACTCAGGCGAGGCCTCCCTATCTTGTCAATACTACTTCACTTCCATCTTCTTCAACACTCTAGGTAAACAAATATCTCCAATTTATCTCATTTTTCACTTTAGGGTTTAGAATATAGAAAATTGGATTTTGTAAATTAGGAATTCATTTTTGAATTGATTTATTGTGTAATGTGAATATGTATGAAGTGTTGAATGTTGATGTTGAATTCATTGTTATATAATTTTTTTTAAACTTTGTTATGTAATGTAGATTTGGAGGTATGAATTGAACTTTGTTAAATTTTTGAACTTTATTAATGCTAAAAAAACTCAAAAATTAGAATGTATTATTATTTTTAAATGTTATATTTTTCCATTTTTAAGTGTATATATATCATATAGGATTTGCTTAATATGTTGTGATGTCTATGAAATGATTAATTTGGGTGTATGAATTGTGTATATTAATGTGTACTCATGAAAGTTGGACATGTATTGTTATTAGAATATGGATTTCTCAAACTTCCCAATCGTGTGTCATTGGGGAGGGAACATATTTGAGGAAGGTGGGCCAAATACGCAATGAAGGTGGTAGAAGCAACTTTGTCATTGTTTCTCATGGTGCATGTTTGGTCGAGATGCTGCAAAAAATCCATGCAGCTACAATGATTCCTCTGAGCCGTTGTTTGCGATTGGAAATGAAATTTCCCATGAACGGGGGAAATTACATTCGTATGCCACTTCTTGATGAGCTAGCTGGATCAAATATGTGGTTGATAATTCAGATGGAGAGTATGTCCACGCTGGAGATATACATTGAGGAATCCATATCTTACTATTCTGCTACTCCATCAACATCAAATTTTGTTGTACCTAGGCATGGTGTCAATGCAGGGAGCTCCTCAAATGTTGTTGTACTGGAAATTGTTATAGAGGAAGAGGGTAGGTATGTGCACAATGGTGCATCATTTGTGGATGGGCAGGGAAGTGATGATGATGCTGACGATAACATCATCGGTGATGACATGACATAATCTGATGAAGATGATGGTGATACTGTCACGGCAACTGCCCCGTCTAGCCGATGTGTGGATGAGCGGAGCAGGTATGAAAAGGTTTACACCCGAAGGTGAGTTTGAGGTTGGTCAACAATTTGACAACAAAGAACAAGTCCTCAATATGGTGAGCTTGTATTCTATTAAAAGGAACCAATTTTATCGGGTGTTGGAGTCCGATAAACACAAATGAGTTGCAGAGTGCAAGAGGAAGAAGGAACGTGATTGCCCCTAGAGAATACGCGCCACAAAAAACAAAGGCAACCTCGACAGCTTCACAATTGTGCGTTATCCTGGACCTCATTCTCCTAGCTGTGTTGGCAACACGGACAATACTGATCACGTGGCGATGACTTCTGATTTCATTCCTAAAGATGTGATTGACATTCTTCGCACTGATCTTTCCCTTAAAGTGCATACTATCATTGAGCTGTTGAAGGAAAAGTATGGGTATACGGTATCATACATGAGAGCATGGATGGGCAAACAGAAGGCCATTGCAGAAATTTTTTACGATCGGGAGAAGTCATATTCTGAAATGCCACATTTCATGACAGTGCTCCAACATTCCAATCCTGGAAGTGTTGTTCACTGGTACCCACCCCCTATTACTCCAACAGGATATATGCAATTTCAGATAGTATTTTGGGCATTCAAGCCTTCAATACATGGTTTTAAGCATTGTCGACACGTACTTACTATTGATGGCACACACTTGTATGGGAAGTACAAGGGTACATTGCTTGTGGCTATGGGTAGTGATGCGAACAACCAAATATTTCATGTGGCCTTTGCTGTTATTGAATTTGAGAATGGGGAGAGTTGGCCATGGTTTATTGGATGCATTAGGGAGTTTGTCACTAATAGGGAGTTGTGTGTCATTTCTAATCGACATGTAGGTATAGTCAAGGCTATGAATGAGGTGGGCAGTACTTGGGAGGAGCCTTATGCGCACCATAGGCAATGTATCCGCCATCTTGCATCGAATGTTCACACTCATTTCAAAGACATTCACCGAAAAATCTGTTTGTCTGGACCGCACGGCAACATCCGAAAAAGAAGTTTGATGGTGGGTTCAAGAAGATAGGGGAAATGCGGGTGGAGGCGCGACAATTTTTGGGGAACATTCCCTTGGAAATGTGGTCATTACACCACGATGGCGGATATAGATACGGTACAATCACTTATAATCTGGCTGAGGTTTTCAACAGCATGATGAAAAATGCCAGATATTTGCCCATCACCGCTTTGGTCCAGGTTTCCTTTTTCCGCGTTAATGCTTATTTTGTTAATAAGCGTGCGAGCAGTAAAGCAAGAGTGACTGAAGGCCATGAGTACTCTCCACACATAACGAATTTGATTGAAAAGAATAGAGAGAAGGCGAAGCATCACAGTGTTACTCCATATGATATAGCCCGAGGGATATACCAGGTGGAAACAGGATGTGGTGGCCGAGCGTTGGGAAAGCGTGGGAGAAAACAAATTGTCCATCTGCGGCGGCGTACTTGCACCTGTAAAAAGATGAAAATGTATAAGATTCCATGCTCTCATGTATTAGCCGTGTGCAGACAACGTAGTTTGCCTTCTCATCCATTTGTGTATCCATTTTTCTCATCTGAACAATACGCCGTCACATATCAAAGAGTCTTTAAACCCATTCCTGACCGTGATTATTGGCCGACTTACTATGGACCTGAAATTGTGCATGATCCATCCATAGTTCGGGCTAAGGGAAGACCTAAGTCCACACGTTTTAAGAATGAGATGGATGAAGGTCCCCGAGGAACGGTTAGATGTGGAATATGTAAACAAACCGGCCATAATAGGGCCACATGTGCAAAGAGATCATGAAGAGATGGAGGGAGGTCCACTGGGTAAAGTCCAAATTATAATATTCCACATTTGATAGTAACGGTGCATGAAAAAAAATAATTAGTAAAATGTTAATTAAAATAAAATAAAATAATACAGAATTAAAAATTAACTAATATCCTTTTATTTTTTGTAGGCATGGAGGTGTCAGCGGATCCTAGGCCAAGTGATCGTTCTGTCCTGGCGTAGGCGTAGGCAACAACAACAACATTTCCATGACCAAGATGATCAAGAAGACCATGAGAACTTGTAGTTTGTCTTTTGTATTGGAGTTTTTCTTGTACACTAGATGTTGTAGGAAGAATTGAATTTATTTTACGTATTTCCACCTGTAAACTCTTTTATGATGTGTTGATGTGTTCGATTATGAATAGGAAAAATTGAAAATAATAATCCCAATTATTGCCAGCCCGCTAACAATAATCTCAACTATTGATTATTTTTGTATAATCCCAACTATATGGACTGTCCACCAATAATGGTCCATGACCGCATATTACATGTTCTAACAAGTGAATTTTTAATAGAAATTAAACGTAAAAATTAAAATTTGGGATTATTTATAGGGATTACATGCTATATCTCTTTAGAAACTATAGGAATTTATTTATAGTTGGTCACGCTGGACCATTATTGGTGGAGGGTCCCTAAAGTTGGGATTATTCTGAAATAATCAATAGTTGAGATTATTATGAGCGGACCACCAATAATTGGGATTATTACAATCAATTTTTCCTTATGAATATTACATGACTATTGTGTTATGAATATTGGGTTATTGTAATGTGTTGTATCTGGTTCGTAACCCCTAAAGAGGAGAAGTGAGACCTTTTTTATAGTAAGGGGTAAGTCGCCAAACGACCCAAACGGTTGGACGACTTATAAGTCGCCAAACCGGATGACTACTTAGAGCATCCACGATGGGTGGATGTCTAGTCTAGGTAAATTGTGCTAGCTCATGAAATTAGTAGGGGTGGGCAAAAGACCCGGTCCCGTTGATCCGTTCCGGAATGTTCCGGTTCCGTTCCGAAATTGTCCTGTTAAATTCGGGACAAACTATTTTTGTCCCGCTCCAGTCCCAAACCGTTTCAAAACAAAACGGGACCGGGATAAATAAAATATGTCCTGTTCCGTCCCGTTGCTCCGAATTCAAAATTGTATATAGTTGTGGGTTAGTGAGTCTACCATCAATTCAAATACTGATGAATATTAATTAGGTATTAGTTATCTAATATATAAAACACATAAAGGAGTTATTGTTGTTATTATGGTTTGTTTCGTGCAACTATCCTATTAGTCTAATATATTTTGTGTTGCATTTATCGTAAATTTTTGTATGTGTTGCATTTTTAGTGTTGTAGTTTTTGTCATTAAGTTTCTTTTTGGAGCTGTATTTTTTTTCGCTGCAATTTTTTCGGATATCCCGAACCGTCCCGTTGTTCCGAATTCAAAATTGTATATAGTTGTGGGTTAGTGAGTCTACCATTAATTCAAATACTAATGAATATTAATTAGGTATTAGTTATCTAATATATAAAACACATAAAGGAGTCTAAATTATATCAAGTATGAATTATCTTCTACATTCTAAAAATAAACTCACGTATACTTCACATGTTTCACTTCTAATAATATTGTTTGTCTTTTTATTTATTTTTGTAGTTTCTTAGTAGTATTGTGTGTGTTGGAGTTATTGTTGTTATTATGGTTTGTTTCGTGCAACTATCCTATTAGTCTAATATATTTTGTGTTGCATTTATCGTAAATTTTTGTATGTGTTGCATTTTTAGTGTTGTAGTTTTTGTCATTAAGTTTCTTTTTGGAGCTGTATTTTTTTTCGCTGCAATTTTTTCGGATATCCCGAACCGTCCCGTTCTGTTCCGGTACCGATTTAAAAGGGACAATAACGGGACAACATTTTATCCCATCCCATTCTGTCCCGTTATCCTAAATCGGGTTCGGGATCGGGATAGTCTAATTCTCGTCCCGTTCCGTCCCGTGCCCACTCCTAGAAATTAGACATTTTGTGTTCATTTTCATCTGTGACGGAGGTAGTCTATGTGCTGAGTTGGCAAAAAATAATTAGACACCGTCTAGAGAACTTTCTGAGTGTAGAAAGGCATTTTAACTTGCTGACTGAACCACAAACGCAGAAAAAGGCACGACTCTCTTTGGAAAAAACGGAAATAGGAAAACTTCCCATCTTAATATTAACTTTCAAATTTAATATGTAAAAATTAAAGTAAGTAATTTTTTGCTTGAGTTATAGATCTGGTGTTTCTGATTTTTACCAAGATCGATTCACTGTATATATGTGCGTATATATACATATACAAACTGATACACACGTTCCAACTGCATCGGAATACTCTGGTTGACTGGTTTCCATATATATTACTCCTAAACTTTTACTTTATATATCAAATTTTTATCAAACTTAAATTTTCTTGATTAGCCTTTGTAGCGGATTTAATGTAGTTTCCGAATATGTAAATTTAATTTACTAAAAATAATCTGAGTGTGAACAGAGATGAAGTTGCTTTATCGTCAGTCAAGCATCGTAAACCGAACTACGAAGATAAATATGGGACGAAGGGAGTATATTAAATGTTGATTTTCAATTGCTGCCATCATTCCCATTTCCCATCAAGAAATTAGTTTTCAGAAAATTGACACTTGAGCGGTTAGACTTTATGCATTGGAAGTCTATTATGTATTTAAATATCTAGTCACCTCACATGGTATGATATGGAGAAGAAAGCCATTTATTTATTTGACATGCACTTTTCTTTAGACTAAACATCCAACCATGGTGGATGCTATAGCCAACCATGGTGGATGATGTCGCCAACCGTTTGGCGACTTATAAGTCATCTGACCGTTTGACGACTTATCACGACCATTATCGACCTTATATCGATAAATACTTTTAATCCAACATTATTTTCGTAATTAATTAATTAATTGGAGTTAATTTGAAAAAAATGATCGACCTAAGTGCGAAGATCTGCAATGGAAGCTACTGATCTGCGATCTCCTAGCTAAAAGCCCGATTGTATTTTGATCATAGGGTTTGCCTAAAATACATGTGGAAGCTTAAACGAATGCAAAGATGAAGAGAAGCGGAAGAAGTGATATTACGAAGAAGGAGAAAAATGAATAATAATTCGTTTGCAGTAAGTTAAAGTAACCTATTTATACTAAAAGACTAACAGGCTAAAATAATATAACAGTCCAATACAGTTTATAAGCCCAATAAGAATAAGCCCAATTATTTATTCTTGAGACGCCCCCTCAAGATGAGCATGAATGTCCAGCATGTTCATCTTGTCTGCAAACTGCTTGAAGAGAGGATTTCCAAGTGATTTTGTGTAGATATCTGCAAGTTGATAAATATTAGGTATATGAGTAAGATTTATGAGTCCAGAATTAATATTTTCCCTTATTCAATGACAATCTAATTCTATGTGTTTAGTTCTTTGATGTTGTACTGGATTATATGCTAAATGATATGTAGATTTGTTATCAGTATATAATGTAATAGGTAAGGAATTATGAATATGTAAATCCTGAAGAATATAAACAAGCCATTGTGCTTCACAGACTGCATTTGATGCAACCCTGTATTCTGCTTCAGTAGAGGATCTACTGATAACAGGTTGTTTCTTGGATTTCCAAGAAACTAAAGAATCACCAAGATAAAAACAATAACCAGAAATACTTCTCCTAGTATCAACACAGGATCCCCAATCAGAATCAGTATATGCTTGAATAGTGAAAGAAGATTTGGAGGAATAAAAAAGTCCTTTACCTGGAGAGCTTTTAAGATATCTAAGGACTCTATGAGCTGCAGCCATATGAATGTCAGTAGGAGAAGATAAAAACTGACTAAGTGTTTGGACAGAATAAGCTATATCAGGTCTGGTTACAGTAAGATATAACAATCTGCCAATTAAAGTTCTATAGGTTTTAGGATCACTTAAAACAGTGCCATCATTTTTTGAGAGTTTAATTTTTGAATCCATAGGTGTAGAAAAAGGTTCGGATGAAAGATACCCAAAATCAGAAAGAATCTCAAGAGTATATTTTCTTTGATTTAAAACAATACCAGTTTTTGATCTAGCAATTTCTATTCCCAAAATGTATTTCAATTCACCAAGATCTTTAATAGTAAATTTATGATGTAGAAAAGATTTAACAGCATTAATTTCATTCATATTATTTCCAGCAAGAATAAGATCATCAACATAAAGTAATATTGCAGTAAAAGAGGTTTTACTAACTTTAGTGAAAAGAGAGAAATCTGCCTGAGATTGATTATAACCAAAAGATTTTAAAGATTCAGAAAGTTTAAAATACCATTGTCTAGATGCTTGTTTTAAACCATATAAGCTTTTAAGAAGTTTACAAACTTTAGTATCATTAGTTTCTAAATAACCAGGAGGGGGTTGCATATAAATGTTTTCATTCAAATCACCATGTAAAAAAGCATTATTTACATCTAATTGATGTAAGTACCAGTTTTTAGAGCTGGCAATAGCTAAAAGAATTCTTACAGTGCTTAACTTTACAACTGGAGAGAAAGTATCAAAGTAATCAAGGCCTTCTTCTTGAGTGTAACCTTTTGCTACAAGTCTAGCTTTATATCTATCAAGAGAACCATCAGATTTAAATTTTGTTTTAAAACCCCATTTGCAACCAATAGTATGTTGATTAGCAGGAAGATCAACAAGAATCCAAGTATTATTATTTTCAAGGGCTTTAATTTCATCATTCATAGCATTTTTCCATTCTGTAAATTTAACAGCTTGTTTGTAAGTTTTTGGTTCTGGAATCTTAGAAAGAGATGCAATGAAACAGTGATGAGAAATATTTAATTTGTTATAAGAAATGTAATTTTGAATAGGATATCTAACCATGTTACAAGAAGATTCAGGATTACCTGGAATGATAGAATTAGGAAGATCATAAGCAAAATCTCTTAAATGAATAGGAATTGATCTTACTCTAGTAGATTTTCTTTGAGTATTTTGTTCAGAAATGCTGTCATGAACCTGAGAAGTTTCTGTGTTCAACAAACTAGAAGAATCATTAGCAATAGAGTTATTATTATCAGAATGAAACAAATTTACCTCCTCATTGATTTGAGTGTCCAAGTAATTTGTGATAGTATTATTAGAATCATTTGAATTTTGAGTAACAGAATTAGTGAGATTGTTTAAGTAGTCATTAAAAATATGATTATTTTGTGTATTTGTGAAATCTGAATCAAAATTATTTTTAGTATGTTGAGTCTTGTATGGAAAAATCATTTCATAGAACTTAACATTTCTAGAAATAAAAGTTTTATGAGTAGTTAAATCATATAATTTGTATCCTTTAGAACCTAAAGAATATCCAATAAAGATGCATTTATGTGCCCTGGAATCAAACTTAGTTCTATTAGAAGAAATAGTTGAAGCAAAAGCCAAACAACCAAAAACCTTTAAATGATTATAATCTGGAGCATGATTATAAAGCATTTCAAAAGGAGATTTGTTATGAAGAATAGAAGTGGGTAATCTGTTGATTATATGCACAGCAGTAAGTATACAATCAGACCAAAAAGTGATAGGCAAACAAGATTGAAAAAGAAGAGATCTAGCAATTTGTAAAATGTGTTGATGTTTTCTTTCAACCTTACCATTTTGTTGAGGAGTTTCAACACATGACAGTTGATGAACAATACCTTTTGAATTATAAAAATCAGGAAAGAAGAATTCAGTACCATTATCAGTTCTTATGATCTTAATTTTCTTTTGAAATTGAGTTTCAATAAAAGTATAGAAATTTAACATATGCAATTTTACCTCAGATTTAGTTTTAAGTAGAAAAACCCAAGTACATCTAGTGTAATCATCAACAATAGTTAAAAAATATTTAAAACCAGTGTAAGAAGTAACTTTATAAGGACCCCAAACATCCATATGTATCAAATCAAAAGCATTAGAAGCATGAGAAGTACTGATAGGAAAAGGAAGCCTTTTTTGCTTAGCAAAATGGCAAATATCACAAGGTAAAGATTGTTTGTCATTATCAGAAACATTACAGTCAGAAAGCATGTAAATTTTATTAAAAGGCAGATGCCCTAGTCTAAAATGCCAAAGAGTAGCAGATGAAGTATGATGCTGACTATTAGCAGAATGCACAGTAGGAGTATGATGAGCTAAAGATGAGTCTGGAGTATAGTGGTATAGGCCATTCCTTAAATCAGCAAAGTCAATCGTTTTGCTGGTAAGGTGGTCCTGCAAGATAGCATGGTTAGAAGAGAAATATACTGAGATATTATCATGAGAAGTTAAACTGGAAATAGAAATGAGATTAAAAGTAAAATTAGGAACATATAAAACATTGTGCAATGTAAGATTGGAATTCAATTTGATATCACCAATTTTAGTAGCAGAAATAAAATTGCCAGTAGGAAGTTGAATTTTAATTGAAATGTGTTTAGTTGGAGTGGTGTATAATGAAGCATCATAAACCATATGGTCAGATGCTCCAGTGTCAAGAATCCATTGAGAAGATTGAAAAGTTGAAAGAGCAAAGTGTTTACCTAAAAATTTTGTGTCACAGTAAGAAGCAGTTTGGTCATCATCAGGAGCAATGGTGACAACATTAGATGAAGCAGTTTTAGATTGTTGAGCTTGAACACATTGCAGAAACTTCTCATACAGATTGGGATCACATAAATCAGTGGTAGCAGAAATTGAATTGATAGAAGTAGGAGCAGATTCAGTGTAATTTGTAGCCAAAGGAGCATGATGATTGTTGTTTGAATTGGTAGGAGTTATAACAGGTTCAGTGGAATTAGTAGCCAAATGAGCATGATGATTTTTATTAAGATTGGGATTTGGTTTAAAACCAGGAGCATTTCTCTGTCCTTTTGGCTCTTTCCAGTTACTAGGATAATCAATGAGTTGGAAGCATTTATCAGAAGAATGGCCTTGATAGCCACAGTGAGTACAGGTAATATAACTTTTCTTTTTAAATTTTTTGACAAAGAAAGCAGTAGCATCATTGTTGAGCTTTTCAGAAGCAGAAGGTTCTGAAAAATAAGTAGTGAAAGGAAGAGTATTCTGAAGAGATCTTTGAGACTCTTCTTGAAGAAGAATAGAGTAGATACTAGACAGAGTAGTTTTTTCTGTGTTAAGAAGAATTTGGCTTCTCAGATTAGAATAAGAATCATTCAAACCAACAAGAAACTTGAGAATAGACTCTTTCTGGATAATTTTTTGATAGGTTTCAGATATATTGCAAGTGCATTGACCACAAGTGCAAGAAGGAATAATTCTGAAATTACAGTATTCATCCCAAATTTCTTTGAAACAATTGTAGTAATCAGTTATACTACGAGAACCTTGAGAAAGATTTCCTAGGGTTTTTTCAAGATGAAAAAGTCTAGGACCATCAATTTTTCCATACCTAACCTGAACCTCATCCCAAAGCTCCTTAGCATCAGTAAAAGATAGGAAAGTAGTGCGAAGAGCAGGTGAAATAGAATAAATCAACCAAGATAAGAGGAGAGCGTTGATACGATACCAGGTAGAGTACATAGGATTATCTGGACTTGGTTTTGTAATTGAACCGTCGAGAAATCCCATCTTGTTCTTCACCGCCATAGCCATGGAAACAGATTTCTTCCAGGCACCAAAGTTGTCGCATGTGAGTGTTTCGTAGATGACTCGAAGCCCAGCGTGATCGCTTGGATGAAGATAATACGGTGACGAAGAGTCTTCCGTCGGATTTAGCGGTAGAGCCATAGCAGTTAGGGTTTTGCAGACGATTGAATAAAACGATTATGAAGAAATCGATTATAGAAATCGATTTAAAAGGATGAAATCGATTGTGAAGAATCGATTAAAAAGGAAGAGTGAATCAGGATCGATCAAGACCTTTCTCTGATACCATGTGGAAGCTTAAACGAATGCAGAGATGAAGAGAAGCGGAAGAAGTGATATTACGAAGAAGGAGAAAAATGAATAATAATTCGTTTACAGTAGGTTAAAGTAACCTATTTATACTAAAAGGCTAACAGGCTAAAATAATATAACAATCCAATACAGTTTATAAGCTCAATAAGAATAAGCCCAATTATTTAGTCTTGAGAATCAGTGTTCTAAAAGGCCCAATAAGGCGCCGCATAGGCGGGCCTAGGCCCAAGGCGGGAACAAGACGCCCCGCATAACCTATATGCGTGACAAAAGGCATGTTGGCCCACAACTTATAAAATTCTGACTATATTTCAGAACCTCCCACTCTCGCACATATAGCTGCTATGCATCACAAGCGAACTGTTTTAAACCAAGCAGGCTTAGTCAGATGCATGCTACCAAAGGTCACATCTATTATATAGAGTGTTGGGAGATGAAATGCTTTCTCTCCTTCCGATGTGGGAATAAGCCGTTCATGTATTTAAAGATTTAGTATTTCATATACTCCGCATAGCAATGAATTACTTAGTCTATTACACTATTAGGAGTTTTGTTCACCACGGTTCAATAATTTGCTCTATTAATATACAATCATTATTACGAATATATATATATATATATATATATATTACTATCATAGTAAGATCATTATTATATAACCATTAATTGATATTTTAATTATTAAGTATTGACAATATTGTCTTCCACTATTTTTACCAATTCTTAGATATTGTATGCATAAAATAGTACGATTTTTACAAATATTTTTTAATATTATATTTATATATGGAGTATTTACTATACATTTATATAAAAAATTAAACACTTTTTAAAAAATTATAACACCATTTCATGCCTACGTTTCGAAGGTTTAAAGCTTAGTCGTGCCGACTCATCACGCCTCATGATTTTTAGAACACTGATTATATATGTAATCTAATATAGTAAAAAAATATCATTTTGTATTTGCGCTTTACATACATTTAAAAATTACATATATAGAACAAAAAAATAGGCTTAATCTTGTATAATATATTTTGGACATTTATTTATTTTCTTCGTATATCACTATAAAATATAGTAATTATCAATAAAAATCTAAAACGCCTTTTCACGTCTAGGTCTAGCTTTTTCCCGCCTAGGCTTAAAGGCTAGAGACTTTTAGAACGTCCTCGAGAATAAGCCCTTAATTCGTGAAGAGTCCAGCTTCTCAAAACAATCAAATTGAAGAAGGCATGGCGAACAAAGTATCCCAGCAACAAGAATGGGGGCGGCGAGCATGGGACTTTTTATCAGCTGTCCGCCATGGCTCACCCTTAGTTCAGTGCATCACCAATTTCGTGTCCATGGACTTCATGGCCAACACGCTGCTATCTGCCGGCGCCTCACCGGCGATGATCCATTCCGCGGACGAAATCCCCGAGTTCACTCCCAAGGCGCATGCTCTCTTAGTAAACATGGGCACACTTACTGCCGACTGGCTTCCGGGCATGAAATTGGCGGCACAGGTTGCCAGCCAATCAGGAAAGCCTTGGGTTCTCGACCCTGTCGCTGCCGGTGTATCCAGTTTCCGGTTGAATGCTTGTTTGGAGCTTCTGGGACTTAGACCCTCTGTTGTTCGAGGAAATGCCTCTGAGATTCTTGCGCTTTCTAAAGGTTGCGTCGATCCTATTTCTAAGGTAAGTATTTACTGATTTAAGTAGGGCTTTGGCCTCTAAGTGAACCTTGGCGAATGCTTCCTGTTTGTGTTTGTTTCAGCATTCATGATTGTTAGTTTGGTTAATTAAATCAGACTTTTTTATAACAAGCTACTAAACAAAGAGAACTAAGTTTCATGATTGATGTTTAATTTTTGCAGAGAAACTTCCTTGAGTAAGACTAAAAATAGACAAAGTGCACAAATAGGATCAGTATCATTTTCTTTCTAAAATAAGACTCATTCGATTCTACTTCTAACATAGGAAGTTTTATACTTTTAATAGGAACTTTTAGTTGATCCTACATGGAAATCGAGTCCTCCTAAGTTCAAACATAAGGTCCTTAGAAGGAGTGAACGGATCGCTTCAAATCAGAAGCTATTATCTATGAGCTAGATGGATCAAATTTGGATTGCTTGGACTTTGCCTTTTTATTACTTTTATCTAGATGTCTTCACTTCTTTAGGGGAGTTCTCCTCTTTTACCATTTGATTCTCTTCCTTCATTAGAGCATATACCCCGTTTTCATTCTAAGTAAAATATTTTTATTTCTAAAAAAAAGTCCTATTTTGGAAATAAAACACACTCTTATATGTGCACTTTGTATATGTTCTAGTCCTATTTGGAGCAATTTTTTATACTTTGTTGTAATATGTAATGTACTAAATGTGGCTGTATTGTTTCAGTGGGGGCGGAAAGCAGTATTTCTTTGTCCATTTGATTGCTTGTCAAGGGCATGTTCATGTGTTTGTTTATTGTTTTTGGAGAAGCTAATTGATGGAGTATATGGCCCGGGACACCCCGGTCCACAGACTCCTGCTTCTTCTACACAGGCCCATCAAGCCCGATGAGCACACAAAGCCCAAACGTAGCGGCCCAAGCATGAAGAAGCCCACGCTGCACACGTGGATGCCTTCAGCCCTATGGTCGAGGGCTCCAAATTCTGGGAGACATCTTAATATGGTCCTGCAAAGCTTATGGAAAATCCTGTCTAAAATGTTAGCCTTCGGCCACCCGATGCCTTCGCCCCCCGATGTCTTCGGCCACACAATGCCTTCGGCCACCCGATGCCTTCGGCCACCCGATGCCTTCGGCCACATGATGCCTTCGGCCACATGATGCCTTCGGCCACACAATGCCTTCGGCCACACGATGCTTTCGGCAACAGAACTATCGACGAAGATTCCTTTTAGAGACAGCCAACCACCGCATTTAATACGGCGTCACATCCACTCACCGCATTTAATGCGGTGCACATGCATATGTCGGTGCCACCCCAATTGAGGTGACCCCTCGGCCGTTAGATTGTTGACACGTGTACTCTCATCGCATTTATAGCTGCTATAAATAGTAGCCCTTATTCAGCTTGTAAAGGGGAACGAGTTCATTTAATACATTTGACTCTCTTTCTTACTTACTTGCTCTGACTTCTCTCTAGGTTATTCATCGTAATAACCCCTCAGATAAGCTACCCCCCGGGTACACTATCGATCATTTGGTGCTCTCGTTGAGAGCCGAACTCAAGTAAGAAACCCTCCTCTTCGGAAAAACAAAAACACTCATCAAAATGGGAAGAGCGACTCGTGCCCAATCCAAGGCCGAAGCCTCCAACAAAGCCTTCGGAATTGACACTGCCGAGGTCTCCAACAAAGCTCCCGAAGGCGGAGCCCTCGCCGAAATAGTGCAGGCCACTGCAGACCTGCCCCTTCAGCTCTAAGAGAACGTTCTCGATGCCTGCCTCAGCATTGAGGCCCAAAGGAAAGATCGGGGTGAGATTCATGTGAGCCCCCCGGTCCTCACCGCCGATATGCAATCGATCCTATCTGCCTTCATCCACATGCTCACCCAGAATCCCGGAGCCTTCGGAACTCTGGTCGAGGAGAACATCGTCCCTTTCTCTCTGCCCCCTCCTCATCCGTTGGTCATGATTGTACGCAACGATGAGGGGGTCAGGGCTCAGGACACGGCCTCCCGCTCCGATCCTGCTTCCCCTCCCTGAGCTGGACCGGCCCCAGTGCGTAGACCTTCGGCCTTCAATAGGTTAGGGGATGCGCACCATCGACCAGCATCGGAGAGGCTGGCGGGAAGGATGGGTCAACGTGAGCCTATCTCATCGAGGGAGAGCTTTGGGTCCGTATCCCGGACAGTGGATAGGCCTCGTCTTGACAAAGGCAAAGGCGAGCTACACGAGGAGGACGCACTCCACCACATCAATGCAGCTCGTAACTAGGCCCCCGGCGTCGCCACGGCCGTCGAGGACCCTCGGAACGAAATCATCGCCCGACTTGAAAGAAGGCTCGCTGAGATGGAAGCAAGACAAGTGGCTGCCACTCCTATGGCCAACTCATCAGGGAATACCGGCTTTGACGCCCTCATGAACAAACTCAGTGCTCTGGAGAGAGAATTCGCTGAGGGGCGCGGTGACCCCATCATCCAGGTCAGGACCAAGACCCCCTTCACCACCAGGATGCTCTCAGCCCCAATACCCGAGAAATACCGGGGAAGCACTATGAAGCCGTATGACGACCGCACTGACCCCATGAACATTTCAACCGATATCAAGACAACATGCTGATGGTCAATGCATCTGACAAATATTTATGCCGTTGGTTCCTCTCCACTCTCGAGGGACCGGTGTACGAATGGTTCAACGCGTTGCCCGAGGGGAGCATAGACTCATGGCAAGATCTTGCCCATCGCTTCCTCACCTATTTCGTCAGAAGGAAGCGCGCGAAAAAGCACTTCTCCCACCTCCTCTCAGTCAAGCAACAACCTGACGAAACACTTCGGTCCTTCATTGACCGATGGATGAAGGAGACAGACGAGGTCGAGGGCGCCGACGAGCGTACCCTCCTCGTCCTCTTCCAGGGGGTTCTTCGCAGCAGCCCCTACGCACGGAGCCTCATCACCGACCCTCCAAGATCATACCTCGAAGCACTCCAGCGGGGGAGCCTATACGCCGACGCCGATGACCTCCACTCCTTCAAGAGGGACGGAGGCCAACCCTCGAAGAAGACAAACAACACGTCGGCCCCGAATGCACCCTCGATCGGGGACATGCCGAGGACTCCCCTCACACACCTGGTGAGCACTATCCTCAACTATGCGGAAGAGCAAGACCTTTTCCCGAGGGACCCTCGGTCAGCGAGAGAGATCTACGCCGTCCACCAGGGCGGCACTTATTGCCGTTACCATAGAAGCACCTCCCACGATACTGACGATTGTGTCTCGCTAAAGAAAGCCATTGAGCTCTTGATTCAACGGGGTGAGCTCCACCAGTTCATAAAAAATGCCCCAAGGAAAAATGTCGGGGAGAACACCGATAAGAAAGAAGGGGACACCTCAGCGAAGAAACGTGAAATTGGGAGGTTCAGCGACGACGAGGAATTCGAGGAGCCCCAGCCGAAGAAGCGCCACCTCCGCTGAATCATGTTCTTCGCCCTCGGCCTCGGTCTCAGTCTCGAGCCCTCGACCTCGAGGCAAATTATCATCCCCTCGGCCTAGAGCCCTCGGCCCTGAGCCACTTATCTTAACAAAGCCGTTTTCAAAACAACGCACCCCTTGTATTCCGCTTATTTCTATGGATTTAAGTAAACTACCACACAACCTTGACATCTTATCGACCCCTTCGACGCCAAATTGCCAGGTATGGCCGATGATGTCTAAAGATGAGGGGCCTGCAAAAGAGACGCATTTTTGGAGCGGGACGCTCACCACGTCACCGGCGCGCAACGCACAGCCACAGGCCTGAAAGAATGGCTGAGGTGACGAAATCCCCACACTTGGGGGTGAAACGGCGGTCGTCGGAAACCGACCAAACCTAGCCCGCACCGTAAATAGACGACGGGACCCCCCATGGACAAGGGACAGTTCAGCGTCGGGGGACTAACAGACGAACCCCCAGACGAATCACTTGGCCCCCTTTCCGGCCGAGGCGGGGAAGCAACCCCCTCGGCCGAAGCCGGAAAGAAGGAACACACATCAGGAGGACTAACATACGACCTCCTGACACAATCAAGGGACAGCCCAGCGCCGGGGGACTAACAGACGAACCCCCGGACGGATCACTTGGACCCCCTTTCGGCCTAGGCGGGGAACCAACCCCCTCGGCCGTAGCCTGAAAGAAGGAACATACACCCGGAGGACTAACACGCGGCCTCCCGGAACTATCAAGGAACGGCCCTCGGCCTCAACATGAGTCTACATCACGAAACGGCCCTCGGCCTCAACCTGATTATACATCACGAACGGACCTCGGCCTCAACATGATTCTACATCACCAACGGCCCTCGGCCTCAGCCTGATTCCACATCACAACGTCCCTCGGACTCAACATCACAACGGCCCTCGGCCTCAGCATGACTCTACGTCACAATGGTTTTGGCCTTTTAGCGTGATTTCACATCACAAACGGCCCTCAGCCTCAGCGTGACTCTACATCACGAACGGCTCTCGATCTCAACGTGATTCTACATCACCAACAGCCCTCGGCCTAAGCGTGATTCCACATCACAACAGCCCTCGGCCTCAATGTCACAAATGGCCCTCGGTCTCAGCGTGACTCTACATCACGAACGGCCCTCGACCTCAACGTGATTCTACATCACGAACGGCCCTCGACCTCAACGTGATACTACATCACAACGGCCCTCAGCCTCAACGTCACAACGGCCCTCGGCCTCAGCGAGACTCTACATCACGAACGGCCCACGACCTCAACGTGATTCTACATCACAACGGCCCTCGACCTCACCATCACAACGGCCCTCGGCCTCAGCGTGACTCTACGTCACAACGGTTTTGGCCTTAGCGTAATTTCACATCACGAACGGCCCTCGGCCTCAGCAAGACTCTACATCACGAACAACCGTCGACCTCAACGTGATTCTACATCACCAACGGCCCTCGGCCTCAGCGTGACTCCACATCACAACGGCCCTCGGCCTCACAATCACAGCGGCCCTCGGCCTAAGCATGACTTTACGTCACAACGTTTTTGGCCTTAGCATGATTTCACATCACGAACGGCCCTCAGCCTCAGCGTGACTCTACATCATGAACGGCCCTCGACCTAAACATGATTCTACATCACCAACAGCCCTCAGCCTCAGCATGATTCCGCATCACAACGGCCCTCGACCGTACATATTTCCGACATCAAATATTTGATATCGGGGGCCATCATACAGGCCCTTCGGCCTTCGGCCCTTCGGCATCTTTATTTGATGTCGGGGCTATCATACAGGCCCTCGGCCTTCATCCCTCCGACATCTTTATTTGATGCCAGGGGCTATCATACATGCCCTCGGCCTTCATTCCTCCGACATCTTTATTTGATGTCAGGGGCTATCATACAGACCCTCGGTCTTCATCCCTCCGGCATCTTTATTTGATGCCAAGGGCTATCATACAGGCCCATCTGCCTTCATCCCTCCGGCATCTTTATTTGATGTCAGGGGCCATCACACAGGCCCCTCGGTTTAGCTTTCATCCCTCCGGCATCTTTATTTGATGCAAAGAGCTATCATACAGGCCCATCGGCCTTCATCCCTCTGGCATCTTTATTTCATGTCGGGGGCCATCACACAGGCCCATCTGGCCTTGCACCCCTCCGTCACCTTTATTTGATAACGGGGGTCCTTACAGGCTCCTCAGCTTTTTAATGCAGGATCTAAGGCTGGTGTTGGATATCCCCTCAGCAAACGGACACAACCATCGCTTAACAATCTAGGCTGAAGGGTGCATTCCTTTTGCTTCATTCTGGGGGCATTCGGTGTACTCTTTTTCCCTCAATAGGATTTTTTCCCACAGGGTTTTTTCCTAATGAGGTTTTTAACGAGGCATCTCCCCATTGTGGAACAAAAGGCGTCACCCCTCGGCGGCTCCTGCTGAAGGCATGCATCACTCTACTCCTATTTCCCTCGAGAAACTCTCGGCAAAAAGGAGTGGGGGACTGAGGGACTCCCCTCGGCAAAACACGCAAATGTTAAAAATTTTCTATTTCTCAGCTACAGCAAGCTGAGGCAAGATCACAACGACAATCTACTCCCTTCAGCAAAAATAATCAAACTTAAAAATTCTTATTCTTCAGTTGCAGAAAGTGAGCCATCGGCAACTTCAAGACACTACTCCCATTTCCCTCGAGAAACTCTCGGCAAAAGGAGTAGGGGACTCCTGATGGAGTATATGGCCTGGGACACCCCGGCCCACAGACTCCTGCTTCTTCTACACAGGCCCATCGAGCCCGATGAGCACACAAAGCCCAAACGTACCGGCCCAAGCATGAAGAAGCCCACGCTGCACACGTGGATGCCTTCAGCCCTATGGCCGAGGGCTCCAAATTCTGGGAGACATCTTAATATGGTCCTACAAAGCTTCTGGAAAATCCTGGCTAAAATGTTAGCCGTCGGCCACCCGATGCCTTTGGCCCCCCCGATGCCTTCGGCCACATGATACCTTCGGCCACCCGATTCCTTCGGCCACACAATGCCTTCGGCCACCCGATGCCTTCGGCCCCCGATGCCTTCGACCACATGATGCCTTCGGCCCCCCGATGCCTTCGGCCACATGATGCCTTCGGCCATACGATGCCTTCGGCAACAGAACTATCGACGAAGATTCCTTTTAGATGCCTTCGGCCCCCCGATGCCTTCGGCCACATGATGGCTTCGGCCACACAATGCCTTCGGTCACATGATGCCTTCGGCCATACGATGCCTTCGGCAACAGAACTATCGACGAAGATTCCTTTTAGAGACCGCCAACCACCACATTTAATACAACGTCACATCCACTCACCACATTTAATGCGGTGCACATGCATATGTCGGTGCCACCCCGATTGAGGTGACCCCTCGATCGTTAGATTGTTGACACGTGTACTCTCATCACATTTATAGCTGCTATAAATAGCAACCCTTATTCAGCTTGTAAAGGGGAACGAGTTCATTTAATACATTTGACTCTCTCTCTTACTTACTTGCTCTGACTTCTCTCTAGGTTATTCACCGTAATAACCCCTCGGATAAGCTACCCCCGGGTACACTATCCATCACTAATTAAAGTTAAACAAGTTTATCCACAACACCAACAAGGCAACAACATATTAAGCCTAATGCCAAAAGAGTTTGGGTGTCCGCTAACATGAATCGACATAATGTCAGAGTTATAAAAAAAGCATAAAGGAAACATCAGCCCATGGATTTTGAAGTTCAGCTTGCTTAGATTAATTTGAACTAAACTAATGATCTCAAAGAGCTATAAGTCTGACTAAGCTAGGATCCCGAATAGCGCTCAAGTGCTTAACTCAGTATCATTTGTTTACACTCCTAAGTTCAAGTAAGAATAAACTGATCAATGCCTGACTAAATAATACACATTTTCAAAGTACAACTGTGGTTTTTGCTTATATTAACAATCCTTTTTGTAGTCTTTTTTAGGATTGCATATGGAGTTCTACGGTCATGTAATTGTTATTAAGTACCTAGGAATTTGAATGACGGAGTAAAACTTTAAGGTAGAGAATATCAGTATTGTATGTGGGCATGTGTTTTCCATTAGAACTGTCTTCAGTGCGGATTTGTACATTTCTTGTGATATTTCATATGGAAATAGTGTTACGTTGTTACATATTTGTTTCCAGGAATGTCCTTTCCATGTTAGGAAGATTTGCATTTCATTGCTTGATACCTGGCATCCCTCTCCCCAAAAAACGTCTTTATTCAATTTTACCTGAATTTCCATCATTTGCAATGGAGCCAAAGATTTATTATTTTTTGGCTTGAGATTATGATGGAATAAAGCAAAATGGCTCACTAAACTGTCTGTGCTTCTTTGTTATGGAGCAGCAGTCAGTCCATGCAATTTTGGACGCGATTTTCACTATGGGTCATCCGGAAACAGTCTCTCTGTGCTTTAGCACAGAGGTAAGACTGCGTACATCCGACCCCCTCTTACCCCACTCTAGGTGGGAGCCTTTGCGGCACTGGGGTAAATGAAAATTCAATTTTACCTGAATTGGATGAACTGGACCATATAATCAACGCTTATCTTGTTTAGTTTGACTTCTCCTTTAGGGTGTGGACAGCGTTCATGGATCAATTGATGCATTAGAAGCAGCTAAATCTCTGGCTCAGTCAAGTGGAAGTGTAGTGGCAGTTTCTGGAGCCATCGATTTTGTCACAGATGGACAAAGGGTTGTTGGGGTGCGAAATGGGGTGCCGCTGCTTCAAAAGATCACTGCAACGGGTTGCTCTGTGACTGCTCTAATTGCTGCTTTTGTTTCGGTTGATCCTATATGGTCTTTTGAAGCCACAGTTTGTGCTTTTTCTATATTTGGGATTGCCAGTGAGGTAGGGATGGAGTCATCCAAAGGTCCAGCTTCACTACGTACAAACTTGATTGATTCACTTCATGTTCTAGATGAAGATGCCATTCTTTCTCGGATAAGCATTAACAACTTTTGAAATATCAGATGAAGACAGCAGTTGGAACATTTTATAAGAGCTCGTCTGGCGAGCACAAATGTGTCTCCTGATTCTGTAATAGTCTGATAGAGATCATGCTCATGAAGGTGCGGCTGCTGTAGATGTTCCCTGCAAGCCACTAGTAATCCATACAGTTGGGTTTTTGCCTTTGTCGTCCATTTACATTTGACATCTCGAGAAAGGTTTCCTGTCCAATTCGGGATTTACTGCTGCCAGAAGAGATGCCACATTCATGGGTGTGATTACCGTTGCAAGGAAAATGGATGATGCTGGTTTCATGATCATCTTAGAATTTAATATAGTACGTAGTATATTCAAAAGATGTTCATTTTACTGGTTTTGAATAAGCTTTGTTATAGGGCACTTTGTAGCCCTGCAAGGTAGTCTTTATTTACCTATATGGCTATATAGATACTATTTGGCGACCCCTTATTTCAACTTTTAAATAAGTCAATTTTTATATCAAACACTAATTTGTGGTTTCGCGCATACTAAGAGCTTGTTTGGTGACCCGGTTTTTTGGCTTATCAAGCTTAATAATCAACTTTTTCACCAAACACGTAATTTTTTATTTTGCGAGCTGAATTGTATAATAATAAGAAAAAGTAAGGTTGAAATACTTTTCTGACTGTATTGACTGAAGTTACTGTAGAGAGTGATTTTAGCTATATTCAATATATTGTATTCTTTATTCTATTAATAAAATAATTTTCAATTTTTTTTTGAAAAATCAGCAAAATTATTTAATCCAACCACTTTAGCTAGTACTTCATAAATTTCAGCAGAATCAGCCGATTCAGCCAATATCTATGCTACTAAATGGCCTCTAACTAAGTAAGTTTGAAGTTTCTTTTTTGGGTTGAATTCGCGTTGGAAATGACTATTTTATCTTTTTCTTTCCTATAACTTTTCTTTATTTTAATAAAATATATTTTATATATAATTCTTACATAATATAGCTAATTCGGATATTGCAATCATCTATTGTTTTATATGGTAAAATGAGTTACTAAATGCTGATATATCGCTCTCTTATTACTTTTCTTAAACATTATCATTTTTTACTATGGAATATTACACATTTTCTATTAAATCACTTTAAAAATCAGTTTTTAAAATAAAAGTGAATGCAAAAACCTATACGGAGTATTGAAGGTCGTTTAAAAATTGAGAAACTGTTTCACCAAACATATAACTTTTAATTTCGCACAATAGATAATGTAATACTTCCCTCGTCCCCCAATTAAGATACCGGTTTGACTTCACACGTATTAAGAAAATAAATTTGATTTAGTGCACTGTTTTGCACTGTTCAAATAATGTTTGACATTGTTTGACACTGTTTTGCACTGTTTGATACTGTTTTGATGTAGATAATTTGTCAAATAAGGAAAGTAAAGAAGTGTGAACTTAATTTAGGGACTGCCCAGAAAAGAAAGTGGTATCTTAATTGGGGGACGGAAGGAGTACTACTCAAGATGTCTTTTTAACTATTCTTGATATAGATACTCTCTCTGCCCCATTTAAAGATTCTCGCTCACTATTCGGTCAACGTGAATCGTTCTTAATATTTTACTTTATATATCCAACATTTATCAAATTTATTTTTTCTTGATCAGGTATTATAAAACTTTTAATGTATTTTCTAAATATGTAAATTTTATTTACTAAAATTAATCTTATTTATGACAGGGACCGATTAACTTTATGGTCAGTCAAATATCATAAATTGTGTGGGAACCTTTAAATGGGATGGATGGAGTATAATTTTTAGAATCCATCCAATTCTTTTCTATGGTGTAAAAATTGTATCGGGAAACCACCCGGCAGAGTGACTATGTCATGGGTCAACGTGAACTCAGTTGATCAACCCAGTCAATGCCGAGAAAACCGGTCAACAAAACATAAAGTATACTTAATTATGTATTACCTCTATCACACTAACATGTCACACTAACATCGAGACATCTGAAGGTTGTGCAATTATTAAGAAAAATAAGTTTATGTGATTGAAATTGAATTGATAAAGTAAAAGTGCAATAAGACTGGTTTTAAACCACACAAGCTATATCAAATTTGGCATGAGACAATCTTAATGGAACGGATCGTTGCATGGATTTCAGACCGACCCCTTCCGCCTCGTCCTCATATTCAAATGGGCGTCCGCCTCATCCCCATGTTCAGACAGGCGTCCATCGCCTCGTCCTCAGATTCGGACCGGCTCATCAGCTCCGTCGTCCTGACCAGCAGACGGGTGTCCCCTAAGCAGACGGGCCCAGGCAACTTTTCTCCTATAAATACTCCCCCTTGGGAGCCATGAAAAGGGTTAGAATTTCATTAATACAAATCACTTCTCTCTCTAGCTCTTCCTTCTCTCTAGAGATATAATCTATCAACGTCCCTGATAAAAACCCTTAGGTTTCAAGCTTTCCGGGTTTGATTCTGATTTAGATGGGTTGACGGGTAATATAATTTTACCAATATTAGCGAGTTGTCATTCTATCTGACAGGTTCCTAGATCGGTGACCAAGTTACAAAATTTCGAGATGAACGGTCCGATCAAATTCTTAAGAGAATATTTCCCGAAATAGGACTAAAATAGTTTGAAAATTCCAAAATACGACTGTCATGTTTTTATTCCCAAAATAGGACTAATTACTGCCATGTTTTGGCAGTACCTGACTTCATACATGGCAGTATTTTCTAAACATGACAATAATTAGTCTTATTTTAGGGAAAAAACATGATAGTCCTATTTTGGAATTTTCAAACTGTTTTAGTCCTATTTCGTGAACTTTCCGAATTCTTAAACCACAAGAGTTCATTTACTAATAGAGATATTTTCTAGTTTTGTTTTGTGTTTTCCGTTCACCAATTTTCTGTTTTAATTTTCCCGTTTTTGTATCTCTAATTTTCTGTTTTCATTTTCTAATTTCCCATTTTCAAATACGATCACATGTTCATAAATTTTTTTACTCGATTATGTGACCGGTTGGAAGATCGAAATTATGATCCCGGTCCAGAACCAAACCTAGTACAACCCAAGCAGAGTACTTGATCACGGGTATAAGAAAGTTGGGACCAAAATCGGCTGGTCCCGATGGGTCCCAACAACTAGTTCTCTTTTGGGAAAGTTCCCGAAATAGAACTAAAACAGTTCGAAAATTCCAAAATAGGACTCTCATGTTTTTTATTCCCATAATAGGAGTAATTACTGCCAAGTTTAGAAAATAGTGCCATGTTTGAAGTCTGGTACTGCCAAAACATGGCAGTAATTAGTCATATTTTGGGAATAAAAATACGACAGTCCTATTTTGGAATTTTCAAACCTTTTTAGTCCTATTTCGGGTAATATTCTCTTTTTTACCAATTCATTTTCCTTTTCGATATTTGTTAACCACTATACGACTCTTTTGAAACTCTTCACTTTGAAAAAATGATTTGAAAAAATGGGGATCGAACTGTTGGGTCATCGACCGGACCGGACAAGGACCGCCGGGTCATTGATCGGATCGGACTGGGAGTGCCCAATTGTCGACCGGATCGGGCATTGACCGCTAAGTCATTGACCGACCAAGACAGGGAGCATCGGATCGTTGACCGGAACGAACAGAGACCGCCGGATTGTTAATCCGATCGATGAGAGATCATTGGGTCATTAACTGGGCTAGAACTGCACGATTAATGACTAGACCGAACATGTACCGCTAGGTCATGGACCGGACCGTACAAGGACCATCGGATCTTTGACAGAAGCGGATATGGACCGCCGGGTCATCGACCGGACCGAACAGTGACTGTTGACTCGTTGATCGGGTCTGAGACCAGAGCATGCTCGGGTCCGAGACCAGAGCATGCTCGGGTCCACCACTAGACGTAACTATAAAAATTCATTGAAGCAACACTGCAGAATCCGCGTATTTCAAATTTGAAAAACTAATAAAATTCACTTGTCCAATTTATTAAAACAAACACATACATATCTCTTTTTTTCAAAAATGATTTTATATACGCATTTTTCTAACAAATTTTATCTATAAAAGAATTTCTATTTTGCTTTTTTCCAAAAATATCTCTAGTAAGCACACTAAATATTTCACCCTAAATTTCATACCCCATTTCACCATGTTTGCATACACCACGTAACTTTTTTCTCATTTCGAAAGGAAAACACTTGTGATTTTATGAAACGGGAATGAAAGCTGTGGGCGTAGCTCAACTGGTAGCGAGGGAGTGCTACAAGGGTTAGGTCCCGAGTTTGAATCCCGGCTACTGCGATGAGAGGTTACTATGCTAAAAAATGCATCGGGCATCTGCAAGTAACAGGAACAGAGCCGAACTCTTTAACTGTCAGATTGTGATTATAGTCCAATTTACATTCTCTCAATGTATCATCCGATCGAGGTTAGGGTCTTAGACATGGATGTCATCTTTTTTGTATGAAATGGGAATGAAGAATCTTTTTCATACTCCATTTACCCGCTGTACATAAGCAGGCTCTCATGTCCTGTCAACTCCATCATCGAAACCCACTGACTCATTCTGCCACTCTCGTCCTCTCCGCATCGCCTTCACCACCGAAGGCCCACAACCCCACCATTTGCCAAAGCGATTCTTTAATGCTTTCGTAGGCATCGCCAATACATTGTGTGTACTGTAGAGTTCCAGGATATTGGACTGGCCCGGCCTGGATTGTGGGAAAACTGTCTCCAATTGAGCTTGGTTTGCTCGATTGCTTTATGATGATGCGGTCTCTTACTTAGATTACAAAACTTCCATCATTGTCAAAAGTACTCTGTATCATCTAAAAAATATTAGGGGTAACCAATTTTTGGGTATGTCTTGGTCCAAAAGCTGGAATCTCCCACCCCAGGAGCCCCCTATACCCCGACCCGACAGCATTTTCGGGAGGATGTTTATCACGGTGACTCAGTTGGCCCAATGATGGTAGGCCTTTTTCTCGTGCGCACCAGATGTCCAGCCTTATTTCAGGTTCTGTGACCTCTACACGGCCGCTGCGAGTTTCGAACCTTGGTCACTTGGTCCAAATTTCCCACCACTGAACCAACTGAGCTACCCGTGCGGGTATTTTTTGGGTATCCCTTTTGTACCACTATGTGTGTTCTCGCAAAAAGCAACTCATCTGAAGCAATTAATCTATGAAATGATCTTTGGTGAATCACACAAAAGATGGTATACATAAGGATGGCATTGGGGGTAGGGGCCTGTGGGGAACCGCCCTGTGGATGGGAACTGGGGCGGGTGGTAGACCGAGTAGATATGGAGATGGGGAATTATTTCCTCTCCGTCGAAATATGGGGCGAGTGATGAGTTATGCACCCCTGCCCCGTCAATCGTATATATACACATTATTAATTAATAATAATAATCACAATAATAATAATAATACGAAGTAGATTTTTTACAAAAATATTACTAAAATAAAATTTAGTTTACACAAATATGACTATTAGTTACTACAATGTAGTGTCATAGTAACTAAGTTTAGAAATTG